TAAGAAGTTTACAGATGTCGGATAAGTTGTGAATTGCTTCCGATAACTGGCAAGCTTAATGTCGGAAGCACTATAAAATTATACCGACATCAGTAATTCATATAAATTATTATTGATATTGTGTCGGGAATTTTAAATTTACCAAATGATTACTTATCTTTACCGACATAATAAATCAATAAAACAAACATCTCATTCATTAAACATTCATGTCCCATTACAAAATCGAAATAACAGTACGCTCTAAAAAAAAAAAAAAAAAATAATAAACAACAGAATAACATAAAGACGTCAGTCTTCTTTAGTCCCCGATGTCGACGCTTTTCCGGCATCAGAGAGTTGAGGATTTTCCGTCTCAGCCTTCTCCCTCTCAACGCCATCTAGGTGATCAATCAACCTTTGGCTCAGACGCTGAACGACATCCTCCTCCTTCTCTTCCAGTGCTCGGACGACATCACTCTCCTTGATCATGACGACGTCGTCATCCTCGTGCAAGACACGGTCCTTGTCAGACGGGACTGGGTCGATCACCCATCCCTTGGCCTTGGCATCGTCCTCTGCCACCTTGCGCACAGCGTAGCTGACAATTGCACCCAAGAGCTCTTCATCCGATAAGCCCTCAAACGTCTCGGTGACAAAAGCCTCAGCAATTGTCTCTACGCATATGTTGGCCATCTCGGGCTTCTTGGCTTTTTCCACCTCAAGAACCATGTCGACGAACGATCGTCTGATTTTCGCCTTTCGCTCTTCCGACAAGGGGACCATGTCCAGCTCCAGCATCCGACTCTCCTTCTGCTTTAGGAGTCGGTCCGCAAAGTCCCTCTCGTCCTGGTCGGCCAGGATATGGGCGTTCTTCATCTCTGGGTTGAAGCCGTATTTTTCCATCTTATGCAGCAAATAAACGTTCAACTCATCAATAGTATACACGCCGCTGTCGACTCTGTCGATCACCCACCGTAAAGCCAAGGCGGCGTTCAACTCCAGCTCCCATTCTGTCGTCGCCCCGGCATCAACTGCATCGTCGGGTACAGTTACTGATTTTTTGCCGACTTCAATGCCTTCCTGGAACTTGAGCTCGGCGGCGACGGTCATTTCTTGTCGGAGCTTGTTCATCGCCATTTCATGAGCCTCCCGGCTTCGGATTAGCTCTGCATCCTTGTCGGACCGGTCTTTACGGACGGCTTGAAGCTCAGCCTTCAATCTTGTGAGCTGCTCGTCCTTTTCTTTGGCCACCTCCGCGACCTTGGCCAGCTCAACCGACGTAAGGTCATGGGCCAGCAATAAGTTTTCCTTCTCAGTCTTAAGGGTGTTCACCTCGGTTAGTGTCGCCTGCAGTTCGGCATTCTTCTTTGACAAGGCAGCTTCATGGCGAGACTTCTCATCCTCCAGAGAAGCTATAGCGCCTTCTTTCAAGCTCAACTCATGTTGTTTTTCGTCAAGTTCTTGAGCTCTGTTCCGGTAACTGTCTTCAGCCGCAATAAAACTGACCAGAGCCCGGCCCAAACAGCCACGGGCATAACTGAACTTCTGGTCATCTGGCAATGATGCGATCCCCGCATGAGTTTTCGGGTCCCACGACATCAATGGAACCTTTGCTGCTTTAACTGCTTCGTCGGGGAATCGCTGGTTGTTTGTGATTTTTGGCTCCACAACTGTCTGAAACATCGGGAACCAGGGGTCGAATACACCCTCTGGCAACGTCAACTCTGCCGCTTTCTTCTCATTAATTTTGAGGAAAGAATCCCTCAAAACAATCTCGGGTTCTTCTTCCTTATCCTTGCCGGCGCCGGTGTCCTGCCTTTTCTTCATCCTTTCAGCTACGTGAGACACGCTGGATCTCTTACGGCGTTGAACTACCGGCTCGTCGGGCGCCTCCTGCCCTCCTTGAGAGATCTCCGTTTCAACCACAGATTCATTCACCGGCGTCATTATCTGCCGTAGTGGCTCTACTTCCAAAGGCGGGACGTCGGCAACTGCTGGCTCGCTCGTAATAGCCGGTGTCGGTTCTACCCTGGTTGATGACGGCTCGCCGACAGCACCCTGAGGTCGGTTGGGATTTTTCTTCCATGCCTTAAGAAGATTCAGACGTCCAGCCATCTCGGTTGATCGAAGATTCTTTTTCTTTCCGACTTTGTTTTTCAAATCCCAATTCGGATTGCGTCTCCGATGCTCCTCAGCTTCTGTGAGATCCCCGAAACCGAAGTATCCCAGCAATGGGTAATAGACTGTTGCAGTCAGCTTAAAGTTAGAACGATATCGTTAAATACGAGGAACGATACGAAATGAATGAAACAAATAGAGGAGATTACCTGGTAGGAATGAAGAATTAAGTACTCCAGGCGATAATCCAGCCAACTCTAAGCGAGAATCCTTCACGAGTCGTTGATATCGGCGTTTGTTGGCGGACACCTCAAACAACTTGTCTACTCGATCGTACAGTAAACCTTCAAACTTCGGTTCCTTCTTCCCAGTCGGTTTTGCTACAAGGTCACAAAAGTCCACCTGTTAGCGACAACAAAAAACAAAATATTAATAACCGAAGTCAAGAAAAATGAAAAAGCAACTTACAATAACCAGACTTAGTGGCCATTGGGATGCTTATCCCATCGGCAAGGAGATCATTAGCGAAGTCGGGGCACTGCCAGTCTCCCCCGACCCATAACCATTCCTCTTGGAACCCATGAAGAGTATCCGGGACCTCCATTATTAGTTCACCGACTTTAACTCTTGGCTGTGGCTTCCCGACAATTGAGAAGGTGAGGAGCGGGTCCGACACTTGTCTATCCGGACTCTTTCGGAATGTGAACATGCTCCTCATGTCCTTTGCCGACGGCAGATCCCATTTTTTCTCAGCAAAAAGCACTAACAGCCCGATGATTCGTTTCCACGAATTTGGAGCAATTTGACATATCGGGAATTCCCAGTCCCGTAAGTATTCGGTGATTATGCGCGGCAAAGGGAACCGTAAGCCCGATCTCAA